CTTTCTGCAACAAATTTTAGTTTTGCTGCTCGTATTACCACTGAAGCTACAACTTGTCTCGCAACAAATTTGAATTCAACGCTTGTGATTGGCTGTCGCAAAGCGCGGCAAATAAAATGAAAACAAACAAGGCGGACGGTGAAGGCGAGCCTGAATTCTAAGTAGACCAGTAACTCTCGGAAAGTCGTAACTTTGTCCTTTACAAAGACCTCGAGGGCTATCATAGTCTTTGGGACACCTCGTTTGTCCCTTCAAAACGAGCAGGAAAAAAGGCAAAAGGCTTGGAAGAACTGTCGCAAAAATACAACTTTTCGGCTAGCTACCCGAAACGACCCTGAGCTTCATACTGAGAGAAATTCGCTGGCACGGAAAATTAAGAAGAAAATGACGGCCAGAAGTCGAAGTGGAACTTCGTCGAAATGCTAAATTATATTAAAGAGGCGCCATCTTTATTTACACACGATTAAGCAATTTTTCCTGTAGAATTCTGCAGACCTGTATTTTGCTGCGAGATGAGTTGGTCACAAACGTGGTAATACGCGCAACAATGTGTTTCAACTTGCAATGCAACAATGTTGCGAGACAAGTTGAAGGAAAATGTTGCCCGTATTACCGGACCTTTACAAAGTGGTCAAATGCAATCATTTCGAGAATTTTTAATGAAGCTCCGACTTTATTCCGAGAAAACAGAATTGTTAATTGTATGGGCATTACGAACTTTGCTGTTTTAGGCCCAGTTCAGACGCCGAATTAGTTTAGATCGAATTAGTTTAGAAGAGAAACCATGCTAAACCGTGGGAAATCGTGTACGCGCTTGTCTTTCACGCAATGAATTGAATAAAGAAATCAGAAACTTATGTACGTAGGCTGTTTACACTCCTCTTTCTTTTGGTCTACTTGAAGAGTTTGAACGCCACTATCTCAGTTTTCTATGAATGAAAGAAATACAGGAAGAGAAAAGAAGCCCGTACCTCGGGAACAGGTACTCTCCTCAGTAACCGCTCGTCATGAACATAACAATATGGTGGCAATCAATCTCTTTAACCACACTGTAAAATGAATGATCATCACGTGATTAAACTAATGCTGAACAAGTGGCAGGAATGGGTTAGTAGGGATAGTTTGTGCATTCCCTTCCGACATCGCTACTTAAAAGGTTAAAGTTTCAAGCCTTCACTCATTGCAGCAATTTTTTTCGATCTTTTTTTTTTCTCTTGCATATTCCGATCTGAAACTACATAATTTTTTTTATATATATATATATTTTTTTTTTCACTTATTTGTCTTTCTAGGTTATTTCTTTATTTAATTTTATATATTTTTCTCATAACTGTTATAATTTTTTGATGTTCCGGAATGTTCCGAAATGTTCCGAAATGTTCCGGAATGTTCCGGTAGTTCCGGAATGATCCATGGTCCTAGTTTTATCGACGGCCTCAGAACTGGTCCTAAATCTGGTCAATCAAATTACAAAAGGTTGGCTGAGCTCTGTTGCGTGTAATAAACGTATCATTGTTGTCTGCTGGGAGTTTGTTTTGAGACGATTAGACTATTTCTATTTTTAAACTTACTGATAACCCAAGCGACGTTTTGTACGCAAAGTGTGCATATCATCGACTTTGCTTATTTGGCAGGTTTTCAAGCAAGATAATTCGTGGACCGTCCCGTTCCGAAAACGATCGACATCTTTGTATGTGAGATGAACGCATGAGGCGTGATTCTTTCCAAAATTTACTTCACAAAACACTGCATTCTTTATTTTGCGTCGTTCACGAAGAGCGATCACACGATAAAGCAAGCCGACGCATGCTCGTCCCCAACTTACACTTTTACGCATGGAACCCCTGGGACCAAGACCCCCCTTTTAGCGACCAAGAACGGCTTGCATTCTATGACTCGGGCTTTCTTACGGAAGCCCAAGTAAAAACCAAATATGTTCTAGTTTGGGCGTAAAAGTCCGCGTTTATACGACATGCAAACTTTAAATGCTTCATGACTAATCAAGCGACGTTTAAGGTGGCTCAATACACTTTCCAGCACCTAGATTTTGATGGGTCGTTATAACTACTCTTAATTACTTGATGCTACAATAATGGTCTCAAAAAACTGCCCAGTCATTGGTTAACGCGTTGTTATCATTTTCGTGACACAAAAGGCTACCATAGCAACAGTATGACCTGCTAAAAACACCTTTAATTACAGCTTTAGAGGCTTATAATTAAAAAACGACAGGGTAAATTTTTCTTTTTATGTTATCAATTTTAATAAGCATGATAAGACGCAACTTTTGGCAAAGTTTAAAAAAAAAATTGTACATAGCGTTCAGAGCCACCTTAAATTTTCAAAACTTCGATGCGAACTTCGAAACACCCGTTGTCGGTATTTGTGATATCAAAGCGAAAAATAACTCGGCAATGTTCTGGTTCCTCAGTAGCCAAGTAGTCCACGGAACAAGAAACCAATCGAGCTAAGACAGCATTTTTCATCTCCGACCTTGCCAAGCGACATGACGAATTCTAGCGACATCCTTTCTTGACTTATCGGAGTACTCGTGAGTGCTCGTGTTTGCTTTTCATTGGATTATAATGATCGGAAACCGCTCGAGTGATCAACGAAAATTTTCCATCAACAGTTCTTAATTTCCTAACTGAAAGAGGTGTAACGAGAAGCTTCTAGTACTGTATCTACCAGGCAGTAAACTTATAGTTGCGTGACAAATTCAATGTGACAGTTGTGACATGAAAACACAGGTGTTTTTGATCTTTTTTCATACCTCATTCACGCTTCACTAGTTTAGATTTAATGTGGAAGCGTGACAGACCCAGACAAAGTACTTTCTTAACTTTTCTACTATAAGCAATAATAGGAGTTAATTTCCCGCGTGGTCATATCCGTGTTTGACGAATGACATCATAAGCGCTTCCCTTGAATGAACACTATGAATTTTTAATGTAACGCAATGGAGCCTCACGCCGGTCAATCTTTCGCGTAGCAGTAGTGGATCTTACGATGAGTGCTGTAAATTAACGCGAAAAACTAAAAGTTCAGTTCCGCGTTTTTCCTTACATCATGGTGCGCTCGTTTGATGGAGAAGCTGATATTGGTTAAAGATGGCCCACTGTAGGACATAAAAGGCCGGTCCCGGAGAGGTTTAATGTGTCGCAGCGGTGACGACTGGGTCTCCCTGCTCTATGCCTGTAAGGAGTGAAGCATTTTCGACCCTTGTTGTTCGCAGTGACCTACATTGTCCCAGCTATTGGCTTGTTCTTCTCAGTTTTCTCGGCTTTTTATCAGGTAAATACAAATAATCCTCTCTTTCAACCTATTTACTTCCTACACTTTGTGATGCGTACCTCCGCTCCGCGCTGTCGGTGTTGAGTTACGATGGGCGTGTTTTGGTTTCGTGATCGAATGTTTCAAAATAGTTTCTCTTCACTGATAAACCACGTTCAGAGCTTCCTTCTTCCAAGAAATCCATTCACCACAAAAGAAAACCATAAAATAATCTGCCTGTCATGGTTCTTTGACCTGCGGCATTTCGCGCACGTGTAATAACGCGTGTCTTTAGTTTAGCACTATAATCACAAAAGTTACCTTCAATAATTTTAAAAACCACACCACAACTTCGTACTTAATCTATGATCTTGAAACTGTCTTAGCCTTGTTAGAAACAGCTTTCAGCAAATACCTCTTAAACTGTATTAGTTGCAAGTTTGAAAGTAGCGTTGTCAGTTGTCAACGGTTGATATTAACCCATGCACGGGTAGATGCCATAGTTATTTACCTGAAGTTGCATCGAAGTTTAAAACGTGATGGCGTAGTCATATAATCCCTTTTAGTATACCGGCCTTTGGTCGAAATTTCGTTTAAAATTTAGCTGGAAATTTCAAATTTACTCTAACTTTTTTTGGTTCTGCAGACTGCCATAAAATGGCAGTGGCATATGTAGTCTGGCATCCATTGACAGGTACCAGGTTCTGTTTAAATGAAGCATAAATAAAGTTAATTAAGGTCCGTTGAATACGAATACCAGCTCACTAATTTTGGAAGAATTAGTTTCTGTTGGAAATTTGACAAAAGAAGTGATATTTCTTGAAAAAAAAAAAAAAAAAAAAACGTGCATTGTCCTGCGTACATATAGTCGGTAATAAACAAGATTTAACCGAGATTTAACTTAGCTTAAAAAGATTTGTTCTATTCAGTAACGGTTTTAACTGTTAGTTTATCAGTTTTAATTCAAGAACTATTCTAGCTAAAAGGTCGTTTCAAGATTCGACAAATTAACTTCGCGGAAGCAATATATTTTGATTTCTATATCCGAGTAAATTATTTGCGTCTAACGTCTTCCATGAATTGCGTAAGCTACCTTTAAAACAAGAATGAAAGAAAAATATAAATTTTTGAGAAAGTAGCTAACATGTTTAATTCGATCTCACAAAGAGCAGGATGAAATCTTCACGTTCTCGCACTTCAGTCTTTTCAATGAATGTTTTTGGAACAAATCTAAGTGATTTACATCGTCAAGTTGTTTGACTCTGTTTCTATCTGTTTTAAAATGATTTATGACCTAACTGTCAATTTTGACAATATCCTTAATGGGTCACTTAACTCTGAACAACTACCTGTCATTTTCAAGTTCAATTCTTCCTGAGAGTAAAGTGGTTTTGTGAGCAGGTTTGGATTAATTTAATGCTAGCTGAAAAGTAATTCACCCATCAAAAGAAAGTTACGCGGAGCATAAATATGAAAAAAAAGTTTCAAAAGATTCGCAAGTGGATTTTACCGCGAATGTTATAATCGTAATATGACATAATGATGAAATCGAAAACAAGATTTTATTTTCAGAACTTAAACTTTCTCTATATGGTGTAACTCAGTGAAAAACAAAAACAAAACATCACTTACGCATGTCTGTTATAAACGAACCCGTGACCGTCCCCACCCGTGCACGCCGTCGCGTATCCACGCGCTTATAGGGAATAAATGGTAGTGAAGAGCAGGGCGCATTGCAGAAGTTTAATTGAATCATTTTTTCATCATCTGATCAGAATGAGCCATGTAATGAATGGTTGCTTCTATTTGAAGAAACTCATGATCCAAAGGTCCAAAAATTACTCGTAAAATTTAAGTCTGCATCGTTTCTAATGTCCCATTCAGCCAGAGCGTATCACGGTTTCTGTCAAATTTTAAGCGACTTAGGAGTATTTCTACCCCCACCCCCTGGATAAGATGCTAGCTCATCGCAGGGTTATTCCCCACCCCCAGAGTTAAATTCACCGGCATCCATTTATACTGACGAGGGTGGAGAGAGACACTGTGAAAGTGACGAGACTTGCCCAGTAAAGAAATCGAAATGGTTTGAAAGTTTGACTGACTGCTAAAAGTTCGCTGAAAATTTAACTGAAAACTCAGATTACAGCACTCCTAGGCACATGTACCCTCCTTGTTGCCGAGTACTATTTCACGAAAACTACAAAAAACACTGGTAGTCATACCCGCCACTCTGGTGAGTCACTTAAGAAGCCAAGATAGAAGTAACATTTCTATTTTTCATTTTACAGGGAGTGCCTCAGTAAAGGCGCACACCTGTCAGTCGAGTGCTCCCCAATTCAATGTAACACTACAAGCTGGCAGCGCTGCAGGGATCTTTTGGAAACTGGGCCGAGTTAAGGACGCCGATCACTGCGGTCAGCTGTGTTGCCGGCAACAGAGGTGCAACCTCGCCTTCTCAGTAGACGAGTTTTGCTACAACGTTGAGTGTCACAGTGAGAAGATGTGCCAATTGAAAAGAGAAAACTTTTCCCGCCATAACGTTGCGGTAACCTTGGTTACAAGGTCTGCGACTAGCACTTTCGACGAGACGGTTACCAGAGGAAAATATCAAAGCAAAGATGGATTAAAAAGCAATTCTGATAAAATGAAGATCAAAGATTACTCTTTAGATACAAAGACGAACACAGGTCATAGAAGTTTGGCTAAAGTAACTGAAACATTAGCAACAAACGAGACGGGGCATAGAAGCTTTAAAAACATTAGTGATGAAGAAAGAGGTCAAAAATATAACAAGAATAAATATCAAAGTGTGTCATTGAGTTCTTACGAAAGTAGAGACAGAGGCACTGGTTTTGAGTTACACGACTCATTTCCGACAAAAGCGGTAGTTCGACTGGAGTCAAAACTTTCCCATGATGGAAACTCTGAACCAACAAAATCCGGTAGATGTCGAGCGAGAAGAGTCCTTCGCAAGGTGACTTTACGTTCAGGACTAAAGTCAGGAGATTTTTCCGATTACGGTCAAGTTCCTGACATTAACGCTTGTGTCAAACATTGCTGCGCGCAACAAACGTGTGATGTTTCCCTGCTGTTAAACAAGCACTGTTACACACTGCATTGTTATAAACCCGAGCTGTGCAAGATAATGCCATCGCATGACTCCAAACTAGAACCGCAATTAGCGTTTGTAACGCGTTCCGCGAACGACGATGAACCGAATACTAGAGTCAAAAAGAAGGCCTCGTCTTCAAATGGAGGCACTTGTCCTCATGGCGCCATTTTCAGTGACGTCAGCTTGAAAGGCGGTCATAAGGCGGGAAAATTTGAACTCTTGGCAGGCGCGAAAGACATGCGTTCTTGTATTCAGAAGTGCTGCGCAAGCCCGAGCTGTCAGGTTGCTTGGTTACTGGGGGATCATTGCTACTCGGTAGCTTGTTATGACAAGTGTATCACTGTTAAAAAGCACTCGAGTAGCATTCGGTCCCAGCTTACGCTCCTCTCAAGAAAGTCTGAAATGCCTGGGAACGACAGTAAGTTATTGACAGAAGTTGTTGTTGTCCCTTGTTATTGTTGTTTTTGTTTTGTTGTCGTTGTTGTTCATTATGTTGACAATTTATTGTTGGTGAGAGCATTCTTTTTTCTTACCCATTTTTCTTTTTCATTCGAGAAAGTTCAACAGCAACCTTTGCTTTAATGGACGCTGTTTCTCTTTCTCATCCTTCTTTGCCATGTTTCCTTTTTATTTTCACAGAGAGGCAAGGCATTCCCGGAAGCAGAGAGGACCATGGTAAGTTTAATATTAATAGCTATGTAACATTGTTAATCAATTAACGCAGTCTGAGAATCACTTTCTGCGCAACGATGATTGCACTAACCCGTGGAACCATAACAATCAAAAAGTGGACTAATTCCTAGCGCCTTGCTTTTATTATAATAGGCTTCTTTCTAGTTATGTCGGAAAAAATCGAAGGAGTGCGAAACTTAACAATGAAACCGAGTTCGCGTAAACTGAGCCATCCAACCTTTTGTGGCAAAGAATATACTTTTTCAAAGGGAAGAGCCTGGTCAACGTACCAAATCAGATCTTCCTAGAATTCTGAAGAGAGCGTTTTCAGAATACAAAAAGAATCACAAACACCTAATAGGCCATTTTAGAGTTACCTTGTGCCTCTGTTTCAAAACCTCGTGCAAAACCTTTCATATGAACTGAGTCTGATTTGCATGAAAATGAACCTGTAGGTGGAACACATTTTCATAAGAATGGTTTCGCGCGAAGACTCGTTTTGACGCTGACGAAACAGGCAACTCAGAAATGAAATGGCCTGTCCAGTTAATCTTCAATTTGTTACTTCTGTCATATCCGTGTCTAGTACTTTATATCACTGCTGAGTTATCATGTCAAGAAACGTTAACAATTTCGCCATCTTGTTTTTTACAGACAAAGTATACACCGTATATTTAACAGTTACCAATCAAATCTTCACGGATCGACTCAAAGATATTGAGTCTCTTGAGTTTCTCAACCTGGCTGAAAAGCTACAAGTTGCGGTAAGAAATTTAAATTATTTTGAACTGAGGTTTACTCTCTAAAATATGAAAAATCATTTGAAAACTTACATTTTCTGAAAGTTAAGCATGTAATAGAGGATTTGGCGAATGTGTCTATATCCTTGTTGCCACCCAATAGACCATTTTACAGTTTTCGGCTCAGTGACCTGGCCTTTGGATGGCAGCGAGGCTGGAGTTAACCTTGTTTTGATACAGACCTCACTACTTTTGTCATGTAAATACACCTAGTTAGCATCAGAACAACTTGTTTTACACAACAAAAGCAGTGAGTGTAGTGTATCAAAACAAGGTCAACTCCAGCGTCACTGCCAACCAAGGCCAGGTCACTGAGCAGACAACTGTAAAATGGTCTATTCAGATCATGTGATGATTCACTTGGGAGGTTAAAATTGTTCTGTTTGTACATAGTCCCATAGTCGCATAGATTTGAATAACAATGCTTATACATCCTAAGGCTCATATTCAGGTGAAACACCCTTTGTTTGGAAACATAAGTACGAGGGTAAGGATGTACAAAGTGTCGTTATTCAAATAGCCCTCTTCACGGTTAGTTTTTCTCATTTGTATTACAATGTAATTCACCATGGAAGCGAGGCTATTTCAGCTAAAACTACAAAACAGCCCGAAATTGCCTCACATACATGCAGGATTTTATGTGTGACAAATTGCACAATTATAACCTCCCAAATGAATCGTCACGTGGTCTGAATTGAATGGCAACAAAGATACAAACACGTTAGCCGAATTCGTCTATTTATTGTTCTGATGGTAAAATAACGACATTCGAGGCGTTCAGAGCAATTTGTTGCAAAAAGATCGCAATCCCTCGTTTGTAAACATAATTTTTTCAACATTTATATCGTTACGGAGGGTCAGAATTAAACACCATTTCTACGTCTAATGACAAGTAACTGATCTACTGTTGACTGATAATAAGTTAAGAATTATCTTTTTTTGTATTGTTTTTCAACAGGTTTCCGCAGTTTTTCTAAATGAACCGTCATTTAAAACAGCAGAAGTTGTTTCTTTCCAGTAAGTATTATGTATAATATTTGTGTTTTTCCTGTACCTCTGCGTTAACAAACAAAAATAAAGATCTCGTTAAGTTTCTTGAGTCTTACACAAGACTTCGAATAGACTAAATAAAACTAGAGTGAGAAATTGAAAACAAACATGCTCGATAACTGGTGTTGACCGAACACTTATATGGCGGTAATCAGCTAACTAGCTACTAATACAGATACAGCTTTTTCTTTTTTCTTCTAACCAAGTATTTCTCTATTTGTCAGATCTGGTCCAGTAGTCGCTAATCTCAAATTAACAGCAGCATCGAAAACAGCAGCATCACAGCTACTTACTCTTCTGGTCACAGCTGTCAAATCTGGTCAGTTAAAATCCTCCATTGATGGTACCCCTATCAGTTTTAAAGTGAGCGATGCTGGTTTTCGCTTTCTTACTTCAACTGGTAGGTTACTTCTTTACCTTTGCTTTTCTCCTCGTTCAGAAGTCAAAGGCTCATTATACAGTCGAGAAAACAACCTTTCTGGAAAAGAACCCGTTTCCAAGAATTAACTGAGCGCGCGGATTTGTCTCCTGGGTTCCTATGTCACACGATGTAGCCCTGCTACGAAACATGACGCAGAACTTGTGCTTGGAAGTCTCGGAGGTAATCGTTCAATACTCCAATCCTCCGTGGGGAAAACGTACAGAAAAGTACTAAAACCTTCAAACTTAGCAAACACAATTCCGTCTATACAGGGACAAACATTGCAAATATGGCTTTCCTTGTACTCTATGCGCTGTGTAAGGCTCGCATGGTACTGTGGTAACATGTAGAGCCGCCATCTTTTTTCCTACGGAGGATTGGCTAATTTTCAACCAGAAACCTTTTGGGCATTTGCACAGAAACTTCTCTAAAGTAACACATGAAACCATGTTATCTGCTCTTTAACAAATAAAATTAATATCGAATGTGCTAGACGGAAGAAACAAATGCTACTTCTAGAGGAGTCTAAATTCAACCACCGCACTCTGGCGTCTCCCCACTGAGGGATCAAATTCGCAAAATTCCTCAAATTGTCACATTGAATCCTCCGCAGGAAAAAAGATGGTGGCTCTACATTTTACCACAATAACATGCGAGCCTTACAAAACTCGTTAAAAGCACTAGAAAAGCCATATTTTTGCAGTAAGTTCTCCTCCGCTAAGAGTTCCTACGGGGGATTGCGTTTGGACTCATGTCTTATTCTTTTTTTATTTTTCATCATTCTGAGGTCTTAACTTGGTGTGCAGTAAAGAACACGATTACGATGTCGACTGGAAGCTGGTGACGTTCAATTCCACTGACAATCAGATATGCCCAAGGAAAGCGCAAGGTAATGACGTCATCAGATTTATTTATATGACGTAACAAGGTAGTGATTCGCTTATCGACCCTTTAAACATTTCACCCGGTAAGCATCAATTACCTTTTTGTCATTCATCCTCTTTGGTCAAATTCGAACTAATTGATCATTCTCCTGTCAGTACTATGCACGTCCAGATATGTGTTGCAAAAGGGCGACCTGTGACTGCAGAAAATATTTCGCTTGTTGTTTCGATAGCATGATGACACAAAAGGAGAAACTACATCTACCCTTATGAAAGAAAAATGCGCAAATGAAAGGGGAGGCGCCTCCTCCTTATCCCTTAAAGGATAAGAAGAAAGGGTCTCTAAGGATGCTTTTTCTGTTCGCATCTTCCATATGACTGATCACTAGATTCTGATACCGCGATTTAGAACACAAAACGTCACGGCCGCCATAATGATGTCCCAAAACAGTGAAACGGCGGCCATGTTAGTGTCCCAATCCAATACTGCGTGGGGTTGCTCTGCCTTTTTTATGTTAAGACTTTCTTTGCTCCAATAAATTGGTATGGCTGCTGGCCATGCGAGTGAAAATGCTTTATGTGAGTGATTCAAAAGCATTTTGTGGTATTGCCAAATGGCCACTAACTGATCCCATGTTCATCTCAATTTTGTTTCGATTGACCTTTTTCTTCTCAGGACAAACAAGCAGGTTTTGCGCTGGAAGCGAAACCACAAACGCCACTTGGCTTGTACCAAACTTTAGCGAATGCGTCTCGCCTGCATATAAAACACTTCATCAAAAGGTTAGTAAGAAATGATTAGGAGAAACGGAAATAACAGTAATGATTCATGTGGAAGCAGTTGGTGAGGTTTTGAGTCCCATATTTCTTTCAAAACTAGCGCGAATACTTTGACAACGTCACAGCTGCTCGTTACCATAGCAATGCATCGTGTTGCTTAGCAACGAACCTTTAAAGATATCATTATGCAGGGGCCGTGTAGTATCGATTGACAATTTTTAGTGTCACAGTCGTTGCATTTTATTTACAATAATTTCAACTCATTCCAATCGATTTTATTGACCACTGGGTAGACAAAACCACCATAACTATTTTTTAATATTTATCTTTTCTCTCAGAGCAAAGATCTCGCCAACAAAGCGGAGAAAAAACTGCCGTTTGCTCCAGCGTCATCAAGTGACATTATCGCTCGTCTTGAGAAACTAGTTTTCACAGATACCTACAGAGAAGACTTAAACAATCGCGCCTTATCCGATCAACACAAAAACGCCCTGACTTCTAAGAAACGGAAAGGAAAAGCTCCCTCCAAAATTCACGACAAAGCAACCTTTGTGAAAAATCCCGTGAAGAATGCCAAAAAGGAGGACGCGAACTCTGTCCCAGTAACGGAGATTCCAAGACTTAAGCCTGAAGTTTTACCAACAACAAGTAGTACGGTAAAAAATGACGCTCAAAATCCTGTATGGTTTTCCGAATCAAAAACAAAGCTTACTGCTTCAAATCCCAGGGATAATTTAAACGGGAAGAGTTTGATTCATCCCACAACCGCTGTTCACCTTGTACCAACTTCAACGAGGGCGCAACAAGTTATAAGCCAGAATAATGTGCCTGTGCAGGCAAACGGTATCGTAAACCGAAACAGGATACCCACCCAATTGTCAGCTTTCCAGCGACAAAGGCAGTGGGGCTTACCAGGAGTTGAAAACCCTGTTGCGAGGTCTAGGGTTCAGAATTCTGTTCAATCAAGTATGGCGAGTCAAAGACAAAATGTACTTGCGTATAATCGAGCACATTATGGGAATCCTTTTCCTTCGCGCAATGCTTTACAAAGGACTCAAGTGTACCAATCCTCTAATCCACGAGTCGCCCCAGGTTACGCTCGTCCGCCCAATGCTTACCAGTGGCCAGGTAACCAAGCCTTGCAGGGTAACCGAGCGGGATTTCAGAGCAGCTGGGGACGAGGTTATTCCCCTCCAAGTTACTCCAGCGATCAGCTCGATATCGGAAGGAGAAAACGAGAAGTCAGTGAAAACAACAGAAAAGAAAAACGGCAGAATACTCTTTGGTACACTTCACATCAATACCCTTCGCGACTAAATTACGCTTTAAATCCAGGAAGGATGCCCGGTGCAAATTATCAGCAAGCAAGACTGAATTATTTTCAGCAGAGGCAAAATGCTTACCAAAATTCACCAAACCGAGCCGTTGCCAATGCTTACCAGAGAGGTTATCCACAGCGACCCTCTTACGGGCAATCTCTCGGGGCGGGACTTTCACCAGCGAGGCAACAGTCTCAAAACATCGCAGCGCCAGGCTTAAGAAGTCAACTTAAGACTGCAGCGGAATACGGGACTCAACCGGGAATAGTTTCGGGTGGACGTCCCTTACCCGTTGAGCGTTGGCCAACACTGGGAAATCAAATCCAAAAACCAACGTCAGGCTTTCATTCGAAAAACTCAGTTACGTCCGCTTCTCCTTCTTCCAGATCAAGAATTGAGCTTAACAGAAACCAAAACATCCATCAAGATGTACAAAACAGTCAAATAAATAAACCCGCTGTGATGGCACAGCCAACTGAGAAGAGCACCACTAGGTTGCCGCCTGTTCACGAGGCACCCAAATCAAAGGATAGCACTGTACACAGAACTAGTGGGTTCAGAAAAGTTGGGCCTCAAAACGATCTCTCGAAAAAGCTCCACGATTTGTCAGCCCCTGCACCTCATGTGAAAGTCCAAGTTGAGGCTCACAAGCGTCAAAACACAACAGTCCCTCAAACTGGAAGAAACGAAAAGCACATGGTCCCTATGTTCGGTGGAGACATTTTGTTGTCTGTAGGGGTACTTGAGCTGCTACAGAAATTTGCGCGTTTGAGTGAATCCAATTTCACTGAAAATGATCTTAAGGTAAGGACATTGAGCTGTTTGTGTATGGTACAAAACCGCCCTTACAGTTTTTAAAAAAATCTTGAGGTACCAGATGATGATGTTGTGCAACGTGATCCTACCTTTAAAGTCTGTTGTTCAAATTCGAGTGTGTAACCACTCAAATGACGGCTATTCATCATTACTTTCATGTGGTACTGTTTATTATGCTGTACAAGGTAGTTCTAACTTTTAATTCTGTGGATGAAACCTTAGTGTGCGACAATTCATATTACAGTTATTGAGCAGTACTTTCATGTGGTACTGTTTATTATGGTGTACAAGGTGGTTCTAACTTTAACGTCCGTAAATGACACCATAGAGTGTGACCATTCAAATGAAAGCTATTGAACAGCACTGTCACGTGTGGTACTTGTTTTACAAGGTGGTTCAAACTTTTAAGTATGTAAATCACGCCCTAGAGTGTGGCCACTGAAGACTGTCGATGGCTATAATCGTGTTGTTGTGCCCATTTCTTCACCGAATTGTAATCTTTTTTTCTTTCTTTCTGTTGTATTTTCAACAGTTGTTCTTGAATGCCAGTAGTCACTTATTGGATCTCAAAAACAAACAAGAGTGGATTAATGCGCAAAAGGTATCAATTAAACTCATCTCATTTACGTTTCTTCTGTATAATATTTAAGTAACGGGCATTTCTTGCCTTTGTGCAGCATGCTGAAGATCTTTTTAAGAGAGGTATCAACGTCCTGGAAGACAGCAGTAATTGGGACTGGGACGAGTCTCAACAGATGGCGGTTAGTACCAGTCCTTCGCGCTCTTTAGTTTTGATACTGTTCTCTCTGTGATGCTATACCTACAACGAATACAATAACATTTGAAACACTCTCGTTTCAAAGTTACGTCAAGAAAGGTTTTATGTATCTTGTTGATCCTTTTTCTTTTTTTTGCAGTTTTAAGGTTTGAGGAAATTTAATCGATCCTTCTTAAGCGAAGCATGCCTAAGTAATAACTCATCATTTGTATCCATGGAAACAAGGTGAACGTAACCTTTTTTTTACTGCTTACTTTTATTTCATGTTCAGGCCCAGGACTCTACCGTTGGACCCGTTGTGTTGGATGTCGTGAGGACGGTACAAGACCACGTCATGAATGCGTCATATAGTGTCCCTGTTACTAAGCCACTCTTGACCAAAAATATTCGTAAGTTTTATAACGCAGAGTGAACAGCTCTGGAAATTTTAAGGACAAATTAAAAGATATTCTAGGTTAAGCTTCCCCAGTAACATTTCAGTTAAAATTGTTACTCTCCCCGCTTCAGACCGAATAGTTATTATCAGAGTTTTGTAAGGCTCATACTTGCTCACTAAGCTGGAGCCTATGCGGTTTTCCGTTCGGTTTTCTGTTTCCCTACTTGGCTACAAATGGGAACCTAGTCCAATGCCCTGCGGGTTACCTCTAGCATTATTGTTAGGTTGTTTTATGGTTAATTCGGAGAGATATACACCTGACAGGAGGGTGGTACTGTGAGAGTAAAGTGTCTTGCCCAACAACACAACATTGTTACCCCGGCCAGTGCGCTCGAACCCAGACTTCTCGACCCGGAGTCCAGCGTGGTAGATATCAGACTACCGCGTCTGTTTTAACAAAACTGACCTCTTACGGTTGTCAACCACAGGAACACAAACTGTAAATAGCACTACAGTTCTTTTTAACAATTATATTATTACAATTAGATTATAAACTAGAGATTTGTATGAGGTGACAGTTGATCAGGCCGACGGCCCAGATCTCCATCAAAGTAACGATTTTCAATTATTTCTTTACATAGTATTAAATTTCTTTGTTTAGCGAAATCAAGTATTTGGAACTTGCAATGGCGCACACGCGCTCATCACAGAAAACGAGT